CTTTCTCCTCCTATGTATGAATTTTTTTTTCACAAATGTTTCAAGAAAGAATGGGGTAACTTCAAAACATTATGAGATTTTCTTCTTGTGGAACAAGCAGACATGCTTGAGAATGACTGACAAGATTTCTCAAGCTTATTTCAAATGGTTTAAAAACAGATGCAAAAATCTAATATACCCACAGATTTTGCTCTCTTAAATACAGACTTTTTACCATGTCAATTCTTTTAGGTATTTGTGCACATCTGGCTCTCGGGAAGAATTCTAATAAAAATGAAAATATATTAATACTATAATTCCAAATAGCCACCATTTGTTACATATCTATGATGTGTCAGACTGTGAAGGGCACTTTATGTATAGTAACTCATTGGATTCTCATTTAGCTCCATGGAATGGCCAATATTCCGTTTTAAAAATAAATAAAATAAAATCTAGAGATGTTAATGTTACTTTTCCAAGATCACATAGTTAGTGATCTTAAACCTAAGCCTATGTAATAGCAAAACACAAGCTCATTCAGCTGAAATAAGATTAATTATTTATAGAGAAACAATTTTATGTAGCAAATAGCACTGAAGAAACTTCAGAATCCCCCAAAAAGGTATGTAAATATTTTAAAGTACTAAAAAAAGTTTGAATGTGAGGGCTATATAGACGTTCTGGTTATCTATGAATGCATAAAAACCACCCTACAACTTAGTGGTATTAAAAAAAAAAAACTATCATTTACTATGTTTATGAGTTGTGGACCAGCAGTTTGGGTAGGATACAATGGAGATTACTTGTCTCTGCTTCATAATGACTTGGTTTTCAGTCGGGATGGCTCAGTTGTGGCCATATTTCTAATGCCTCAGTACTGGCCATTGACTGGATTCCTTGGTTCTTTTCTATGTCATGTCTCTGGAATGCTCAAAATGGCTTCTTTACTCACGTGTATAATTGGGCTGGACTGATTGGAACTCATCAGTATCTTTCTCTTCTTCATGATGCCTCTCTACATGGCTAGCTTAGGCTTCCTCACATAATGGCAATCTCAGAGTAATTGAGCTTCTAACATGGCAGCTGGCTTCTCCCAGAGTGAGCATTCCAAGGGGCCCAAGAAGGAGCCAGAAGGCCTACCCTAGAGGGGGAAGAACCCAACAGAAACACATGGAAGGATTAACTATATTTGCAAGAAAGGAATATTGTCTTACCTGTTAAGTATCTTCTTGGCCAGTGGCTTTGCTAATATGCCCTTGCATTACCTAAACACAGAAAAAGAGAATTAGAGAGCTATAACAAGACATAGAAAAAGCCCAGCAGTGAGGAATTCTGGTTGGTGTGGTGAGGGTGTTTGAGCTTCCTGTGGCAATGTACATTATGGTTAGACAAGAGTTATTTTACTAGTGCCACACTCAAGATATCCTCCTGCCACCCAGCAGTACGAGTCTGGGTTGGGCTGCCTAGTGGAGGACTGAGAGAGAAATAAGGACTGGAACAGGTGCTCTCATGCCAGGTATCTGTATATGGGGGGGGGGGGAACCTCACAGAATCTTCCTAACTTTGCCAGCCAGCTAGCCAGAGAAACAACGACAGACAACCTAAAATTGGACAGCAATCTTGCCCAGTTAGGAAATGAGACGTTGCCCTTGTCCCTTTCCCTGCCTCAGCATTCCCTACAGATGAGCCAGCACCTAGGAGAAAGAGGTGCAGACCATGCCTCACCTTTCCTCTCCAACTTCAAGACTGTATGTCAAAACTTAATGCATTATTTACATGTAATCATTTTAAATAAAAAAAAATGATTAAGATTTACATTATAGATTTATCCCTATATATTATATGTTATTATATATAATTTATATTATTAAATATATATTAAAAACCTGATATATGCAGATGATATGACCTTGCTTACTGAAAGTGAAGATGACTTGAAGCACTTACAGATAAAGGTAAATGATTACAGCCTTCAGTATGGATTACACTTGAACATAAGGAAAACAGAAGTCCTTACAACAATAAACATCATAATAAATGGGGAAGAAATTGAAGTTGCCAAGAATTTTATTCTTGGATCAACAATTAATGCTGATGGAAGCAATAGTCAAGAAATCAAACAACTATTGTATTGGACAAATCTGCTGCAAAGGACCTCTTTAAAGTGTTAAAAAGCAAAAATGTCACTTTGAGCATTAAGGTGTGCCTGACCCAAGTCATGGTATTTTTAATTACCTCATATGCATGCAAAAACTGAACAATGAATAAGGAAAAATGAAGAAGAATTGATGCATTTGAATTATGGTGTTGGTGAAGAATACTGAATATACCATGGACTTCCAGAAGAGCGAACAAATCTCTCTTGGAAGACCTACAGCCATAATGATCCTTAGAAGCAAGGATGAGGAGATTTTATCTCACTTACTTTGGACATGTTATCAGGAAGGACCAATCCCTAGAGAAGGACATGATGCTTGGTGTAGAGGGTTGGTGAAAAAGGAGAACCTCAATGAGATGGATTGACACAGTGACTGCAAAAATGGGCTCAAATGTAGCAATGAACATGAGGATGGCACAGGACCAGGCAATGTTTCATTCTGTTATACATAAGATTACTGTGAATTGGAGCCAACTCAATGGCATCTAACTATATAAATGTATATATACACACATATATACATGTTTTCATTTTTCAACTCACTTAAATAATGGTCCTAGTGAGGTACTATAAGAGAGCTTAGATTCTACTGTAGCTGTGAGGCTGGACTTAGAAAATGGCATAACCTCTGGAATTCATGCTGACTTTTTAGGTAGGTGTTTTTGGAGGGCAGGGCAGGGAAGAGTCATTGTCATGGATTGAATTATGTCCCCCAAAAAACATGTGTATCAGTTTGGCTGGGTCATGATTCCTGATATTGTGTGATTTTCCTATGTGTTGTAAATCCTGCCTCTATGGTATTAATGAGGGAGGATCGGTGGCAGTTGTGTTAGTAATGCAGAACCCAATCTACAAGATTGGATTGTGTCCTGAGGCAATCTCTTGAGATATAAAAAGAGAAGTGAGCAGAGAGACAGGGGGACTTCATACCACAAAGAAAGCAGTGCCAGGAGCAGAGCGTGTCCTTTGGACCTGGGGTCCCTGTGCGGAGAAGTCCTAGTCTGGGGGAACATTGATGAGAACGCCAAAGGCCGACAGAGAGAGAAAGCCTTCCCCTGGAGCTGACTCCCTGAATTTGTACTTTTAGCCTACTCTATCTGAAGAAATAAATTTCTCTTTGTTAAAGCCATCCACTTGTTGTATTTCTGCTGTAGCAGCACTAGATGACTAAGACAGTCATGTATAAAGAAAGTCATTTTAAGAAGAAAATTGGATAAGAGAGCAGATACAAAGAGAAATAGAGATGAGATGTTTTATGAAGGAAGGAAGATGCTAGATTGCTGACAAATTTCTGGTTGCTGGTTCTAAGCTTTTATGAAGATCAGCCATATTTCCTGGCCTTAGCTTCCATTAGGTAAACATACAACCATATTTCTTTAAACACAGTTTATCTTTTTCCCCAGCTATACAACAGTACTTACCATCAGAAATATTTTAAGTAGCTAGAAATTTCTGACAGTCATTTTTCTAAAGCTATATTTGGTTTGAGGCCAACCTACTCTCTGGAGGTAACTTCTCCCGAAGGAGACCTGAGGATATGATGTGACCTCATTGCTGCTACATCTAACTTCATATACTACCTATAGGTATGGAAAAATGTCAATTTCATTTGCAGGATTTATTATACACACTGTTCTCTGTATTTTCTTTCTGTGCCAGGCCCATCTCTGATCCAAATGGACCAAAATCTATTCAGCAGAAATTCTTATATTTAATACAATTGTATTAGCTAATCAAGGAGCTGGAAAAAAATGGAATATATTGTTGATATAAGAAAATCGATTTCCAAACTCTGTAAGCTGTTTTCCTTGTTTCTGCTGTTTGTTTCTATTTACCATTACCTGTTGACTTCTAAGGGCCAGTGCTGGTATTTATCTTTTGATAAGGTTATTTTATTTCATGGCCAGAGACTGTAACAAACCATTATTCACTAATAAGTGTCATTTATTTTCATTTGGGCTCTTGGGTTCTTATTAGGTGCATGCTTATTAAATTGAAATACTAAATACACTTGAGGATATGGCATATTGCAAAGCATTTTTTTCTTCATGTTCTTGAGATAAAAACATTTAGAAGAGCATGTGACCCCTGGATTTGATTTTCCCTACTGCTGCTCATGAGTGACCTTGGGCAATTATCTCTCAGCTTGCTGTGAGTTTGTGTCAGTTGCACTCCAGAAGCAGCTACATAGAAGCTTCTTAGCCTTGGGGCTTTTAGAAATCTTTAGATTGGGGCTGTTAACTTAAAACATTAAAATCTGAATTGTGCCTCGATTAGTGACAACTAGAATGTTGGTACTAGTGACCATTTGGAATGCTAAAAAAGCATATTCCTATGTACTTGACTGTCTTTGAATTATCTTTCAGGATGGAAGCTGAGTTCCCAATGAATGTTGCATGCTCTTTAAAATATTAAATATAGGCAAATTCATGTCAAGTAAATGTTGTTGTTGTGTGCAGTCAAGTTGGTTCCGACTCAGAGTGACCCTATAGGACAGAGTAGAACAGCTCCATAGGGTTTACCAGGCTGTAAATCTTTATGGAAGCCACTGCCACATCTTTCTCTTGCAGAGCAGTTGGTGGGTTTGAACCACTGACTTTTTGGTTAGCAGCCAAACGCTTAATCATTGCACCACCAGGCATTCTATTAATTAAATAGAATTTGTAAATAAGATTTAAGAGCCAGTAACTTAGAAAAAAAGAAAGAAACTCATTGCCGTCGAGTGGATTCCGACTCATAGCAACCTTATAGGACAGAGTAGAACTGCCCCACAGAGTTTCCAAGGAGCTGCTGGTGGATTCGAACTGCCCACCTTTGGTTAGCAGCTGAATTCTTAAACACTGAACCACCAGGGCTTCAAAAAGACATGGAATACTTCAGGAATTGGCATGTCATCCTTGCACAGGGGCCATGCTGATCTCTGTATCTTTCCAATTTTAGTACGTGTGCTGCCGAAGGGAGCATCAAAGCTATAAACCAAAAAAACCATTGCCTTCAAGTCGATTCCAATTCTTAGCAACCCTATAGGACAGAGTAGAAGTGCCCTTATAGGGTTTCCAAGGAGTGGCTGGTGGATTCTAACTGCTAATCTCTTGGTTAGTAGCCGAGTTCTTAACCACTGAGCCACCAGGGCTCCAGTATATACAACTTATAAAACAAGTGAATAATAAATCATTGCAATCTTTTGATTGACAGGCACTTGATAAACAGATAACTAATTAAAATGTTGGCATCTCAAACAGGGTTTTGGCATTTTATGTATTTTTTCCTTTGGTTTTCTATCTGAGAAATGGGCCTGTGAATTGCATAGATTAAAAATGTTCTGAAGTATTCTGATAAAGTTATTACATAATTATAGATTATTATCTTGCTGCCCTTACCTCATACAGATTTTTATTTTAGGTGGCATGATTGGTGAATATTAATAGAAATATAGACATTTTTAGGATATACATATATATATATATATATATATATATATATGAGCCTTGGTGGCACAGTGGTTAAGAGCTCAACTGCTAACCAGAAGGTCAGCAGTTCAAATCCACCAGCCACTCCTTGGAAACTCTATGGGGCAGTTCTACTCTGTCCTGTAGGGTTGCTATGAGTTGGAATTGACTCAATGGCAAAGGGTTTCTGGGTTTTATATATATATCCACCATGTTTAGTTAGCACTCTGTTCGTGTTGAATGGATGAGGATAATAGAAGCAGGCACTATGGAATGGGAAGTAGCCAACACCCTGGATTTATTAAAGTTATGGAAAATTGTAGTTCTATTCCTGGTGGTTGTGCTAGTATAATAGAACAAGAGATATAGTTATTATGCTTGAATGCCTGGTTAGGGGAAAAAGAGAGTCCCCCCAAATCATTTTATGACATACCATTAAGGCCAACATGTAACTGGGAAGAAGAGCCTATCTTTCATGGGGTTATAAAATAACAATCTCTCTCTCTCTCTTTCCTTTTGCTTTTAATGTTAGCTACTGTTTACATCATGAGTTTTCCTACATTGTGATTCTTTCTAAATAGGAGAGAAGAAAAAATTCCTTAGGGAAGTCAGATGTTTTACCATAGCTCCTAACATGAACATGAAAAGGAACTAGCTCATCCAAGCAATGATCACTCTATTATGACTCAGACAGGGAAGTTTCTGATTTTTATAGAAAGGCTAATAGAGGCTGAGAGACTGAGGCTACAGTTCCAAAGTATATGTTCTGGCATCTGCATCCCACTTGGGTATCATTCAGGAAAAAAAAAATCTGAAGTCAATTAATTCCCTTTGCAATGTACGGTATCTTAAAATTAAAATTAATGTGTAGTATCTTAAAAGATACACCTTTGTAATAATTTGACTATTGCTCAATACATTAGTATATACTTAGTTTACTTGAGTCTTATAAAAATTATAATTTTTGGGCAACTTAGTGAGAAATAATTGCATCGTATAAGTATATAATAAACAACATTACTTTTATATTAGGGTTCATCTTAAGTGGGTATTCATTTACATATATTAGGTTTTGCTTTGTAACTTTTTAAAATTCTTCATTTAATTGATTTTTTTAGCAACTTAATTCCTTAATTCAAACCTAAGATATTCAAATTTTATTGGCAAATGAACTCTGAGAATGTTTTATTTGAAAACTTGGCTTTCTTCCTTTTGTACGTCTAATTATTATTTCTTTGCTTGGAATTCCATTTACACAGTAGAATGTAAGAGACCATGGATGAACAAAATTTTGAAACTTGGCACATACTGTTTCAGGAAGATTCGAAGCAAGGAAAGAATTTGTTCCTACAATTTAAAAGGCCAACTGAATGTGCAAGAACTGTAACGTATCTGCAGTCTTAGTTGCTGAGTCTATGTTAATATTTAGTTGATGAAAAAAAATAAAAGTATTAGATGCTAGTAACTTTTCTCAAAGTATGATCTGTGGAACACTAGTCCTGCAAAATACTTTGAGAAAAGAGATTCTGTGGTTACATAAATTTAGGAAATGCTAATCATAGATCTTTCTGGAGATACACAAGTCCTTAATCATATTAAATAATCATATTAAATTTTTAAAAAATTTGCCAAAAAAAAGCAATCATCCAAATAAACAACTATACTTCCCAAAGCTTTTTAAATTAGAACTTTAAAAAATGCTATTAACAGCCCATGGAATCATTCCTAAAAAACACTGTTCTAGAATGCAATAAGAGAAGGCAGCATCAGGAGCCTCAAAATTAATTTACTGACCAAATTTGAAGTTTGAGAGAGAGAGAGAACATTGAGATATTTTGAAAACCCTTTGTACTTTCTTAAAAAAGGACTTTAATATCTTTTACTAATGAGATTATGAGGTTAATGTTGATAATACTGATCATAAAAACAGCTAACATTAACTTATGCACCATGCATTGTTACTGGATGCTCTGATCTCATTAGATCTCATCCCCATTTTACAGGTAAGAAGCAAATCAGAGAGATGAAGTACCTTGCCCAAAGTCACTCACTATAGAGGGCAGGGACAGGCTCTGAGCTAAGGCCAGCTTTAGTCCACATTTGCATTAGGTTGCAGTCCCTTCAGCTCCTGGCTTTTGGTGCCCTTGCAGAGATAGGCTGCTAGGTAGGAGTGATTAGATATACTATTGAAGAAAAGGTATGGTCAAAGAGCATAAAGAAAAAGAAATGGAAGTTTAAATCAGTGCAGGGTAGAGAGTTAAAGGGTATGTTATTCAAGACTGGCTACAAAGTAACATTCCAATCTTAAAAAAAAAAAACTCCCCTGGAGTCAATTCTGACTCATAGTGACTGTGATGGTTAAGATTGTGTGTCAACTTGGCTGGGCCATGATTCTCAATGTTTTAATGTAATCACTCCCATGATTGACTATGCTGTGAGTAGCCAGTCAGATGAAAGGAAGTCTCCTTGGGGGTGTGGCCTGCATCTGAATATAAGTAGAAATTTTGGCTTTTTGCTCTCTCTGGATCCTGCAGCTGGCTCCTGTCATCTCATCTCCAGTTCTTGGGACGTTCTAGCCTCTACAATTGCAAGAGTTATTTCCTTGATATAATTTCTCTCTATATATATTTGTACACTTTGCTGGTTTTGCTTCTCTAGAGAACCCAGCCTAAGACATTTGGTACCGGGAGTGGTTCTAGAGAAACAAAATTGTAAGGATGAGTTTTCTAAATTGGTTCTCAAGTCTGGTTAGTCATAAAGACGTTGACGACTCTGCTTCCAGCAGTAAAGAGGTCACGGCTAGTCCATGGAGTGAGGTGGTGATACAAATATACACAAAATATCACCACCAGTAGATCAGGTATTGGTGAAAGGTGAGGCTCAGGGTGAACACATGTGTAATATCTTTCTACAGCTTTGTCAGAATGAGAAGTATAAGGCAGCTGGTTGGTTTGTCCTACTTTCGCTAGACAAACTGATGAAGGAAAGAGATGCACTCAGGGCTTCAGAGTCAAGGCTCAAGTGCCACACACATGACCTCAAGGCTTCCACTTGTGCTTTGAAAGAAAGCCTTATTTCTTGTAGTAACAGAGCCGAAATTGCTGAAAACCAAACCCAGAGTCTTATCGTAAGAGTGGCTGAATTACAATGCCAGCTCAATTGCAAACCTTGAGAGGTGTCTGAAGTTAAAGTAAGGGCATTGATTGGGAAGAGATGGGATCCTGAGACTTGGAATGAGGACATATGGGCAGATAATTGGAAGCTGGGGACCCTGAGCCTGTAAATTCCATTGAATCACTCCTGCCAGCAGAACCAGTCCCATCTGAAGAGATTACTTCATGTTTGTCTGCTAAACCACCCTGCCCAGAAAAATCACTCCCATCTGAGGAGATTAGCACTAGCCCAGCTGCCTCTAAAGAGCACTTGCCTGAGTCATTGCCTGGAGCGTCACCTGAGGCAGATGCTTTACAAGATAATGCTGAATGTTTTCAAAACAATTCCACACTACCGATTCTGGCTTCTAGACCTATAACTACGCTTAAGTCTCAGCAAGCCCCAAAAGGTGAAGTACAAAGTGTGACCTAGGAGGAGGTACGCTACACTCCAAAAGAACCACTTGAGTTTTTTAATATGTATAAACAGAAACCTGGGGAATATGTGTAGGAATGGCTATTAAGGGTGTGGGATAATGGTTCAAGGAACATAAAGATGGATCAGTCTGAGTTTATTGATATGGGTCCACTAAGCACAGACTGTTCATTCAATGTTTCAGCTAGAGAAGTTAGGAAAGGATCTAATAGTTTATTTGGTTGGGTTGCTGAAGCATGGATTATAAGGTGGCCGACACTAAACCAAGTTGAAGTACCAGACCTGCCTTGGTATACTACAGAAGAAGGTAGCCAAAGGCTTAGGGAAATTGGCATGCTAGAGTGGATTTATCAAGTTAGACCCACAGACCCACACATAGAGTGTCCAGAGGACACACCTTTTACCACAAAAGTGAGGAACTAATTTGTGAAGGGAGCTGCAGTATCCTTGAAGACAGCTGTGATTGCTATTTTATGTAAGTCAGATTTGACAGTGGGAACTGCCCTAACTGAATTAAGACACCTAACTACAATGGAACTGATTGGACCCCATGGTAGTAGGGGCCAAGTGGCTGCACTCAATCGACAAAGACAAGGTGGGCAAGGTTACAGTAATGGACAGAGGAGTTAAGGCAGTAATCAGAATAGTCTGACTCGTATGGACTTATGGCATTGGATACTTAGTCATGGTGTCCCTAGGAGTGAAATAGATAGGAAATCTACTAAATATTCACTTGATCTATACAAACGGATGAATTCTAGGTCAGGTAAACAGCAGTCTAACTCGAATCGCCAGAATAGAGAGTCATGGTTCCTCAATCAATTCCCAGATTTGAGCGAGTTTGAAGACCCACAACCCCTTGAATGAAGGGGAGGCCGGGTCCCTTTGAGGAAGGACTCCAACACACTGCCAAAAATTTTTACCGTT